GCCCCCCCCCCCCCCGCCCCGTGAAATGGGTGCGCAGGGGAGCTGAATGATCTCAAAGGGGCCCCAAGCTCTGTGAGTGGACTGATTAGCACTAGTCTGGGAGTGGGGAGAGGGGCAGGGGCAGGCTCAGGAGCCCCCTGCTCACAGTGGTGAATTCGAAGTAGTAGAGACAGTTGTCGGTCAGGATGAACCAGCGGCGTTTCCACGTCTTCACGCGGCCCCCTGCGAGAGGCCAATGGCGCAGTCAGCCAGACTTCCTTTCCCTGGGCCACTGACACTTCCTTCCGTTGAGAGCGGGGCCTGGAGAGCTTTCCTCTGCCCCTTCCCCTCAAGCCTCCTAACCCCCAGCCCACCACACTTTCCCCCAGACCCATCACTTTGTCCCTCAAACACCCTAGTGGCACTCATCACCCCAGGCTACCCCTGGCCGCTTGAGCTGGCATTCGAGGCTCCTCCAAGATCAGGTCCCAGGACCAGCGGCCGCCCTTCCCCCTCAGTTCAACTCTTGGCCGGCTCACTGCCTGGCACCGTGCTAAGTATTTCGTCTTTCGCTTGCCAGACAATGTTCTAGATGTTTTTAGAAAATATTTGCTTATTAATCCCTAGAACTGCCTATGAGGAGGGAACTGTTATTAACCCCATTTTACAGATGAAGAGACCAAGGCACAGGGAGGCGCGGTCGTCTGCTCAAGGTCCTGCAGCAGAGCTCAGTTCCGAGCCTGGTGTCCTAGCCCCAGAGCCCAAGTGCTTGGCCATTTTGCCACACATTGAACCCTCCCAGTGCTCGCGATCCCCATTCCACAGCCATGGAAACCGAGGCCGAGGAACCTGACCACTGGCACGCGCAGGGAGGAGCTGAGATCTGTGACTTAAGAGTCTCCCTGGGGCTGGGAACTGTCCGTCGGGCAAGGAAGGAGTCGCCATGGTCTGCAGAAGGGCTGGCATCCGGGCATGGGGCCGTGGAGGGCTTGGGCGGGCATCCCCAGCCCAGGTCTCTGTTGCAACACGAGGTGTCTGTCCTTACCTGTCTCCAAACGCCACCATCCCTTGCTGGGCTGCCTCCGCTGGGGAGGCATCCAGGAGTGCTGGGCCCTGCAGTTCCCCTGCCAGATTTGGCAGCCCAGCCCCCACCCGTGGCTCCTCTCTGCAGGCTGGAGGTCCTCCCAGCCCCCTTGTCATGCTGAAGGGAAGCTCCCCTGAGCCACATCCTGTACCATTTCCTCCCCCATCCTTCAGGGACACCCAATCTTTTGCCCCCCCACTTGTTGGCTGTGTGGCCTCAGACAGGTACCCTAACCTCTTTGGGCCAGGCTTCCTCAGAAGCCCTCAGGAAGAGAGAGAGGCCTATAGTTGAAGGGTCTGGGGGCCTCTCATCTCCTCTTCCGGCTCGTCCTCCCCTCCCCCACTGTCCCCTTCCTGCCCAGGACAGACAGATGGAGGGATGGGGCAGGCGGATGGCTGGGCGGCAGGGGGGGTGGGGGTGGTGGTGGGGGGAAGGGGCGCGGTGTTGCCTGACTCCACCCCTGAGGCTGCATGTCAACGTGTGCATGTGTGGCGTGTGCCTGCACATGTCTGAGTGCATCTGCCACGTGCCCGAATGTGCGCCTCACCCAGTTTGAGCAGCCAGCCCTCGCGGTCAGGGTTGAAGAAGGTATGAGTGAGGTCATTGCCGTCATCCTCCGGGATGGAGAAGGGTTCGCTCTTGATACTGTCGAAGAGGTTCTGTCCCCAGAGAAGGGAGGGGAAGACCGGGCTGTGATGGCCATCCCAGTCCAGAGCCTGGACCCTGCTGGGTCCGTGGGGCCTGCAAACGCTCCCTGCTTCCCCCAGGCCGCTGGGGCCCCCAACCTCACCACATGCCAGGTCCCCCCGCTCTGTGGCCAGAGTAGTGCACACACGCGGAGGCCGCTCCTCAGAGAGACTGTGCTCAGCTGCCTTGCCCATGCCCGTCTGCTTGCTGGGCTGGGTCTCCCCCACTGGGTGGGGCGCTCCCCCAGGGCAGCCCTGGGTGTCACAACCCCCAGGACTCCCCCAGGGCCTGGCCTCAAACAGGTTGGCAACTCTTTACCGACCAGTCGGTTGATGGTGCCCCCCTTTCCTCTCCCCCACCCCGGCCCCCATTGCTAGAATTCCAGCCCCCGTTGCTAGAATTCCAGAAGAGCACTGGCTTTGGCGTCAGGCTATCTGGGTTAAAATCTCAGCTTAGTCACTCGATGGCTGTGTGACCATGGGCATGTTCCTCAACCTATTTGAGCTGCTGGTCCTCAACAGCAGAAATAGAAAGACGCTGACCCCTCAGAGTTCTGGGGTGGGGTGGGGGTGGTAAATGGACTACACAGGGGTCAGAGCCCCTCCCTGCCGTACGTCTAGGGGAAGGTGAAGAGGAGGGAGGGAGGAGTACAGCTTCGGCCTTCACCCAGCCAGCCAGCACCCCTCTTACAGGTCAGATGAGGGAGTCAGAGATCATCACCCCAGTGTCTGAGAGTGTTGCCGACAAGGACACTCAGCTGGGACCTGTACACCCCCACACATGTTCGCCTGTGTGTGCACACACATAAACGCTCAGACATACCCACATACACACTGGGGTATAGCAGCCAGAGTCAGGGCCTCCTTAGGTAACATCCATGAGGGGAGGGGGGCCCCTCTTTTGCTTAGCTGCAGTAGCAGAGACTTCCAGGTATACCCTGGGTAGGGGGACACGGAGGAGCGACCAGGGAGTTGGGGATTGACTGCCTGCGTCGAGAGGCCCAGCCCAAGGACAGGCTCAACATGGGATGCTGAACTTGGCTCTCAAGGGCAGAGACCTGTTCCAGGTGGGCTGTGGTCGCAGGGGTGGGAGTTCCCAGAAAGCAGATTTCAGTTTTCCATGCAGGACCTTCTAGCAGTTAGAGCTGCTAGCATATGGATGGAGCAACCTGGTATGATAATGAGATCCCCGTCACTGGAGGTATGCAAGCCAGGGCGGAGACCTCCCTGTGGGGGCGTTGTGGATGTCCACAGTGGATCATCCGGTGTATCTTGAACCCCCTGCCACAGGGCCCTGTGTTCTGTGATCAACCTGCCCATGTTTCCGTGTGTTTGGAGAAACATTCTCAACTGTTTCAGCTTATTAAAACCAGATCCAATGCTGGATCTCCATCTCGAAGATAATTAACTCCCTTCCTTCTGTTGCCTTTGTGTATACTGCTGTTCCGATGGTTTCCTTGAGATTTGAAATGAAAAATTTCACAAGTACTGTTGGATTCCCCTAAGGTTTTAGAAATGGTGTTTGCTGGTTTTTAAAAGGTCTTTGCTGACCTGATAGCTCCAGGGCTCGGGCGGGGTGTTGGTTACAATCCCACCAGAAGCAGCTTTTCCTGGGCTTGATGGAGGTGGCTTCGGATGTACTCCAGAGTCCCCGGCTCAGCCTGGCTGTGCTGGGGTGGGTGTAGGGAGAAGCAAGGACCACAGGCCCTTTTTTGGAACCCCCGCACCCCTAGTGCAGCTGGGAAGCTCTGTTGCCCTTCCTGGCCAGGCCCAGCCCTGGGAATTCCCTGGTGGTGCTGGCTGATCGAACAAAGGCCAGTGGCAGAAAGGCCTTGTCAGCAAAGCTGTCAGCACAGACAAACGTTTGGGAGGCCCAGGACGCAAGCAGGGGGCCAGACAGGGGGGCCTCATCCTCCGCGGTACCCACAAGGGGTCTCCTGGCAGCTTCTGCGGGTGGCCTATCAGCTTGCACGTTCTGCTCCCCACAAAGGAAATGGCTCGGTTCATCTACCATTCCTGCACCTTGTAAACACCAGCCCTCCCCCATAAGTAAACACCCCTGCGCGGGGGGGGGGGGGGAGCTGGTGGCCACCAAACCTGGCTGGGTAGACGCCAGCTTCCAGCGGTTCTGCTGGTCTTGTCTCCATCTCTCTCCGCCCCCGGTTTTCCTCTGGGGGCTCCCCTGCCCAGACACTCTCTGTCCAGGTTGCTGAGGGGGGTTCACACCCACCGCTCCCCTGCCCCAGGCTCCAGGAAGGAGCGAATGACTCCCATCTGGCCAATCAGAACATTTCCTCCTGCTGGCCATGGTGTGTGGTTCAGGGAGGACATGTGACCCAAGCCAGCCAATAAGCCTTAGTTCTGGGACTTTAGTTTTAGCTGCTGAGAATGAACCCCAAAGCTGCCTGGGTGGTCTCTGCCGCAGCTTGAAGAGAGCCTGTTTAGGAGGGAAGCCAACATGGAGGAAAAGGTTGCCGAGAGATGGAGAGACCAGATCAAGTCCTGACCTCACTGAGCACCTGGATCTAGCTGAGCCTGAAGCCGGGAGATCTGAAGCCAAATCAATCCCTGATCTTTTCCATTACACAAGTTGAGATTCCTTTAGCCAGGAAGCAACCGGTAACTGGGAAACACAGCCAAGTCCTCCATCCCCAAATCCTGCCTTCTGCTCTCTGCTGAAGGAAGGGCCCTGGAGTCAGACAGGCATGGGTTCGAATCTGATGTCCTCACAAACTATGAGACCCCTGGTCAGCTCCCGCTCTAGGAGGTTGGTTTCCTTTGCTGTGAACTAGGAAGGGTGCCCACTGCCTAAGGGTGTCAGGAGGAGTTAATGAGAACATAGAGTGCCCAGAACTGGGCCTGGTATGTGGTCAGTTCTGATGGAGATGTTTGGACAAAAACTCAGGAGGTCCAGGGCTGCCCACAGCAGAAGATGCCCTGCACTGGGAGACTGTTCCCCTGCCTGAGCCTCAGTTTCTCCACCTATAACACCAGAGGCTGGAGAGCCCTCCTTCTTGGCCTCTTTCCTTTTTCTGCTCTTCCACCTGAGCACCCTCTCTGGGCCGCTCTCTCAAGGTGAGTGGCCCTCTTCTTGGCATTCCTTGGGTGCCTGTCAAGCGCCAGGAGCTTGAAGTGCATTAACTCGGCTTCTCAGGAGAACCACCTGAGGGCACCATCATCTGCCCACTTTGCGGGTGAAGAAACTGAGGCTCACACTCAAGGTCACATAACCATAAAGGGCAGAGCTGGGATTTGATCTCCTATCCTCTGAGTGCACACCCTGTACCTTTGCCCTGAGTCTCTTAGGCATATCTGCCTCATCCCTATCAGGATAGCCAGGGCAAGACGGGCTCAACCCGCCTGTCCCCTGCCTCCCATAGTGCACCTCTCTGAAGCCTTGCCCAGCTTAAAAGCATTATGTGTCCTCAGCAGGGCCCAAGCTCCAGTACCACGATGGGGAATCTTTCCACAAAGTGACAAACTTTGAATATCTGAAGGTGCTTAAAGGTGAGGTCTTGCTTTACATATAGGGACGATGAGGCCCAGAGAGAAGGCAGGCAGATGCTCCCCAAACCACACAGCACCCAGGCTCCCCCCACCCAGACTTCTGCAATAAAAGCCTCCAACAGCAAGGACCAGGATTGTGTGGTTCTCTTTGCACCTTGGGAGGGGGATAATAAACCCTTCCCAGACCTCCCAGGCACAGTGTGACCTTAATTGAGATACTAGACCCTAAAGCCCCAGGAGGAGAAAGTTACAGTCTCTACACAAATGTAGCGCATTGTTATTAACAAAAGGCTTGAATTGGGAAACATGTCCAAGGAAGGGAGGTGTTCAAGAAGGCTCACTGGGGAGGTTGGGGGGCTGAGGCAATAATGCTGGTGTGCCATTAACTCATTATCTGCCAGACCAGGTGTGCCCAGCCTCCTGCCACCGGCACCACAACAAGAGGACTTACCGATTCCCAAATGCATTTTAGATTTTGGGCATCTTGCTAAGTGCTGGGGTTTTAAAATTATTATTAGTTATTCCTCATAGTGACCTAAGCCACCATTTAGACCCTGTGCTCTGTACCTGGCAGGGGCTATGCCCTTTACATTTTTACAAATTGCTACTCCCGGCAGCTCAGTGACGCAGGCATCATTATCCTGGTTGAGAGAATGGTGGCTTGGAGGGGGGGTGAGTCATTCCCCAAGGTCACCGACAGGCAAACGGGGCAGACGGGGAATTGACTCGGGCTCTAACCAGCTCTCAAGGCCTCATTCTGTGCTGTGGTCCCCCCCCCTCCCCTTACCCCCATGATAAACTTTCTCCTCTGGAGACCGAGGAGGGTGGTGGGCTAAGGGCGTGGCAGTTGTCAAGCAGGGAGGGGCACCCGAGTCCTTCCAGACCCAGGCTCCCCCCCAGACCTGGCGGGGTGCTAAGCTGGGAGGGTGGGGTTCTCACCCTCTCCTCACCTCCTGCCAGGCTGTCACCGGGAGGCGACGGGAGCTTTATTGAGTTCTGGGGCATCTTTAGTGCCGGAAATGAACTGTCACTTCATTTTTGCCGCACCAGGTTCTGCGGCTCACTCCTGTGTTTACAAAACGGCTCCAGCTCCGCGTTGCCCATAGTTACCAGGCAAACCCCGGAGGCCGTCATTCGAAGCCTCCTTCCCCACCTTGCCGCCTGTCCCTATCTGTACATATCCACACCCCCAGCCAGCCACTGCGGACTCTTCTCCCTTTCCCAGCCAGGCGAGGCCTGGGTTCTGGCAGTTTCCCCTTTCTGGACTGTCTTTTCTCTGTTTCCCTCTGTGAAAACTCCCATTCAGTCTTCAAGGCCCGGTTCAAAGTCTTCTCCTCTCTGAAGTCTTCCAGGATGACCCCCTTCCTCTGCCCCCAGGAGAGTGACAGTCATGTCCTCTGTGTCTCTGTAGCTATGCTCCCGTAGTCAGTACAGCATGGATCACGTGGGGCTATAATTCACATAGGCATCATCTTCCCACCAGACCCCGAACTTGGCCTGGGTGGTTGATTCATCCCCGGGTGCCCCGTGCCGGGCACAGGGCCTGGTGCAGTGTGGCAGGAGTGGGGGCTGTTTGAGGAAGAGATGGGGAGGCCCGCAAGCTGCCTTGTGGAAGACCTCAGTTTCCCCCTCTCTGGAGGAGGGAAGGCTTTTAGCAGAGTCTGAGGATTTTCAGCCCTGACATGCAGAGACTCTAAGAACCTGGGATTCCAAGCAACACACCCGAGTTGTGTGAGGTGCCCTTTCTGGAAAGTGCGAATGATGGGTGCCCAGCGTCCCCCAAAGGATGAAGTCTGGGAGGGCCTCCCGGGTGGTCTACAGAAGACATCCCCCTTAAGATGGGGGCCACTTGGGAGTGCCCATGTCAGGACCGACCCGTTTGGTGGTGGCCCAATTCAAGACAGTCACCAACCTGGGTGGTCCATCTCAGAGCCCCCTGTTGGAGTGGTCTATCTCAGAGGAGCCCCTCTTGGGCTGTCCACCTAACGACGGGCCCTGCCCGGATGCCTGGGGACCAGGAGGGTCGGGCCGCGTCCCCCTTACCCGCAGCTGCTCCTCAGGCAGGTCACCGCCGCCATTGATACCGCGGTTCATGGACACAAAGCGCTCGAAGGGCGGCCTGTCCCGGACATTGGGGTTGTGGAGGCTGGTGTTGAGCATGATGATGGAGAAGGACAGGACGTAGCAGGTGTCTGCGAGATGGGACAGCAGTCACAGTCCTGGCCCTGGTCACTCTCTCCTCCTGTGCCCTGACTGCTTCGAGGGGCCAAGCACCACCCGTCTCAGCACCCCAAAGGTCCAAGCTGTCCTAGCTTGGCATTCGAGGCCCGGCCTCCTCCCCGCTCTTACAGGCCTCCCTGCTCCAAAGAAACTTCAGCTGCCGCGCTCCTGAGCCCCTCCCATGCCTGCCCACCCCTGCACTTTGGCTCCTGCTGGGCCCCCTGCCAGGCACGCCATCCCCTTCCCTTTGCTACCCATCTGAACCCTCCCCTTTTAGCTTGAGCTCAAGCCTCTCCCCGAGCTCTTCCAGCCTCCCTCCCTGCCCACTCTGTTCTCTGCCTCCTCAGAACTCGGAGGACACTTATTGTTGGCTATACTGTTCAAGGCTTAGTCACGTGCTGCTTGGCAATCTTGCCGGCGTTGTGGGGCTCCTGGGGCCCAAGCTCCTGTTCCATTCTTCAGACTTTCATGGGCTTGGGGGCGAGGCTGGGCTGAGCACTTGGGAGGGAGGTCATTGCTCCTCTGGGGCATTTTTAGGCCCTGGGTCCAGAGCCAGAGAAGTCCAGCTGTGTCCCCAACTCCCTGGTGGACCTTGGGAATGTACCTGACCTCCTCGGCTTCTCCACCATCTGTGACATCAGGAGGTTTAACCTGAAGTATCTTCATGCTCTAGAACATCAATGATTCTACCCCTGAAAACAGTGGCACCCAACAGAACCACCTAATAGCTGTCCATCCCCATTACAACCCGGTGAGGCAAGTGCCCTTACTAACCCCATTGTACAGAGCAGGACACTGAGGCACAGGGAGGTTCAGTTACATGCCCAAGGTCACAAAATGACGCAGTTAGACTGTGATTCAAATCTGGTGCTTTAAAATTCCGTCCTTTCTAATAAGTATTTATTGTGTACCCATGAAATGCTGTGGACTGGGGATTCATTGGTGAATAAATCTGATATGGTCCCTACCCCTGTGGGGTATTTAGACTGGTAGAGGTGACAGATGATAAAGAAACACACCCCCAATTTATAGGCAACTACAAGAGAGGGCAGATGCTCCATGGGACCTGACTATGGTCACACAGCCACGGACAAGCCACGGTGCTTCTCGGGGTCTGTGTTAGATGCAGAGAGGAGAACACTGCTGACCTCAGAGCGGATGAAAGGATTACCTGACTTTGCACAGGTAGCGCTCAAGAAATGGGATTCGTTACTGGTGCTGTGGTAACTTCAGGTACAGAGAAGCCAGGACAAGCCTGCCGCGATGACTTCTTGTCCACCCTGCTGGGGGCGGGGCGGTGTCTGCAGTACTGATCTTTGCTGGTATCTTTCTGTACCCCTATGCCCCCGACCTCCTGCCCAGCATGTTTCCTGCTTCTGGCCTTTGCCCAGAGGAAAACTCCTGTCCGAAAGGTCCTTTCTCCACCTAGACCTCCTGGAGAACTCCTATTCATCCTTTAAAGCCCCGTTCAGACCCCACTGCCTCTGGGAAGCCGTCCTGGATAGGCTGACTCTGCCGTCGCTGTCCTCAGCCAGGGGGACTGTGCATTATTTCCTGCCTCCTCTCCCAAGGACCGGGCCCTGAGGCAGCCCTGCCTGACAAGCGCCCAGCAGAGGGACCGGCCCAGCGTTGGCACTCAGAGAAGTCTGGGCTCCCAGGGTCTGGGTGCTCGGGGGGGGGGGGACCTGAGAGGGTGGGGCGGGCATGTGCCCGCAGTTCCGGAGTGGTCCCACAGCCCCACGTCCCCTCCCACACACACACCTGTGGACTGGAAGACGCCTGGGTTGCAGAGGCAGTATCGGATGGCAAACGTCTCCATCATCCGGTCGATCTTCTGGGCCTCGCCTGGCAGCCGGAAACTCCACAGGAACTGTCTGAGGGCAGGAATGGGGCAGTGGGTGGGGATCCCGGTGGCATGGGGTGGGGGGACCCTGGATAAGCTGCTCTGCCTCTCTTAGCCTTAGTCTTTATCCTGTACATGGGAGAGTCTGGCCTGTCCTCCAGGTGCTCGGGGAGGAGCCTTTTCTTTCAAAGTGGAGTGTGTGCACCCCCCTCCCCATCTGGGCCCAGAACCCTTTGAGGTCCCCTCCACCTCAGCCCAGGGGGGGCCTCTGTCTGCCCTGGGATCTGACTGGGGACCCCTGGGCAGGTGCCTTCCCCTGGCTGGGCTTCCTGTTCTGTGAACCTAAGCCCTTCCAGAGCTTCAAACTTAGTTCCCCAAGGGCAAGGGCTGTCTGTACTGCTCCTCTCACACCTCCCGCTGGCTTCACCCTGGCCTGGGCGCCGAGGGACTGCTCAGTAACGAGCAGAAGGAAGGATCGAATATTGGAGACTCCTGACCACGTACCCCTCTCCCTTAAAGAGCGTGGGAATTGGTGGGAAGGCCACATTGCTTGGATGGTAGTGGCTTCTTCCTTCTCTGCCTTGCAAACTCCTAATCATCCTTCAAAGCCCAGATCAAGTGCCCCCATTCGGGAGTGATTTTCCAGGCATTACTCATAGCAGCAAGACTTACTAAGCCAATTCGAAGTACTTTCTGTTTAGTTGGTACAGCCCTATGAATTTGGTACTGTTATTATTATTAATTTCTTTATTTTTAAATATTTAATTACTTTATTTATTTATTTGAGAGACAGCAAGAGATAGAGAGTGTGAGAGAGAGCATGAGCAGGAGGAGGCACAGAGGCAGGGGGAGAAGCAGACTCCCCGCTGAGCACGTCGCCGGACATGGGTCCCGACTCCAGAACCCTGAGATCATGACCTGAGCCTAAGGCAGACCCTTAACTAACTGAGGCCCCCAGGTGCCCCTGTTATTAATATTTTTTAAAGATTTATTTATTTATTTGACAGAGGGGGCGAGTGGGGGGTGGGGCAGAGAGAGAAAGAACGTCATGCAGACTTCCGGCTAAGCGCAAACCCGACGTGGGGCTCCATCCCAGGATCCTGAGATCATGCCCTGAACTGACACCAAGAGTTGGATGCCCAACCTCCTGCGCCATCCAGGCACCCCAGTTGGTCCTATTATTATTCCCATTTTGCAGATGAAGGAACGGAGGCACAGAGACTTGCCCCAGGGATGAGTCGCAGAGCTGGGATATGAACCAGGCAGTCTGGCTCCAGAGTTTAATACGTAATAATAAAGGGAATACCGACTGCGCTGTATTAATAAAATAAATAAAACACTAATCTCAAAAGTAGTGGGAATAGCAGAAGTAGTAGTAACACTCGTCACGATAATTAAATACGGCTGTAATCATGTAAGACCACGAGGAGCAGTGGCTGCAGGAAAGTGATCAGAGGCATCAGAGACCAAGGGGTGATGCTGTGTTTGTGCCATGAGCGTGGCTCCTGATCCCCCCTCCCCACCCCAGGCTGGGCCACCCCTGGGGGCCGGGCCGTGCTCTCCGGACCACTCACCTGAGGGCCTGCACGAGGTTGAGGTTGGCAAATTCGTGGCAGTCCACGAAGGCGTGGAGGACCTGCAGGTTGAAGGGATCCCTGGAGAGGGCAGGAAGGAGGGCACATGCACTTGGGAACTTGCTGGCACCCACCTCCTGGAGGGGGCTGAGGTGGGGGCGGGGCGGGGAGCCGCGTCCTCCTTCCGGACCCAGCCACCTTCTGGTCTGCTCACCTCTGTCTGAGCTCACGTCATCCCCCACACACCTCCACGGTGTGTTCACCCAGGAGGGGAGCCCTGGCTTCGGAGCAGCCTGCCCTGCATCAAGTCCTTCCTCTGTCACTTCCTGCCTGGATGACCCTACTCAAGCCGCTGGACCTCCCCAAGACCCCGTGTCCTCATCTGTAAAATGGAGAGAACCACGCCTACGCCTATTTCTTCCCACTTCCCAGCTCAAATCTGGAAGCACTGCCCTTTTCTGCCACCTGCAACCTCTGCTCTCTTAGGAGAAGGAATGTGTTCACCAGGGAGCCTGGGAGAAGAGTCGCTGGTCTAGCTCCCCTCTTGTCACTTACCGCCCACCTGGCACCCCCAACAGCCAGAGGGGTCCTTTCTCACCACTCCTCTGCCCAGAACCCTCCCATGTCACCTACTACTTCTTCCCTCCCTTGGTCTCTTCTAATCTCACCAGCCTGCTGTTCCTTGAGCACGCTTCTGCCCCAGGACCTTTGCATGTGCAGTTCCCTTTTTTGGCATGTTCTTCCCCCAGATGTCTTCACTGCTCACCCCCTTTAAGTGTCAAGCATCACTTCCTCCACGAGACCCTTCCTATCTGTAATATTTAAAGTCACAGCCCTTGACCCGTGGTCCCTAGTGGTTCTCATTTCCCTTCCCTACTTTATTTGCATTCCAAAGAACTTGCAATTTTCTAACATATTTTACATATTTTGGGATCTGTCTTTTGCACTAGAATGTATCTCCCTGAGGGCAGGAGTTTTGTTTGTCTTGTTCACTAGGATAAATTCAGGGATTAGATACTGCCTGACACATGGTAGATACTAAAAAATATCTATTTGTTAAACAAATGAGTGAATGAAGGAAGGAAGGAAGCCAGGCTTTGGTTCAGAAGGTGGAGGGGAGTGATCAATTAGCCCTCTCAAGCCCAAGAGTTGTGATTTCCCTAACATAATTCATTCCCTCATGTACCTGCACACATACACACACACACACACACCTGTGCATACCTGCACACCCTCATTCCCTATCTCCCTAAGGCCACGCCCCACCTTACCTCTCCCCCAGGTAGGTGCCAATGGCCGTCTTGTTGAGGCCCTCCCCCTTGTACAGGAACTGGGCGATGTCCTGGACGTTGGGGGTCAGCAATTTGTGCTCAGTGAGATACTGGATGCCCTGGAGGGGGTACACAGAGCCCACGATCAGCCCTCACACAGCTGCTGGCCTGAGAGGAGGATGGGAGGGGGCCTCCATGGCCAGAGTGCGGGACAGGTGGTGGGGCACTGTGGCCTGGCATTCTGAGATAGGCACAGACTGTTTTGGGAAGTTCTGTCCTCCTTAAGAGAAGCTGAATTTGTAAGGTGGTGAGTCCCCCATCACTGGAGGCATGCAAAGAGAGACAGCATTCCTGCAATGAACCAGGTTCACGCCATGATCTCCCCAGGTCCCCTTCAGTCTGAACTCTTGGATTATATGCTTCAATGATTCTATGAATTTATAACTTTAAGATTCAGTGATTCAGACATTTCTTTTGTCCCCTTAAAACTCATATATTTAAAAATAGTGTTTCATTTTTTTTCTCACAAATAATCTATGTCCATTGTATAAAAATAAGAAAAAACCCAGCTAAATCCAAAGGAGAGGAAATGGCCAAATCCCACCACTCAGAGGGAGACAGCGTCCAATGTGGCGCCTTTCCTTCCCTTTCTACATGAAACTGCTTTTCTGATCTGACGATATCACACATACCTCTCGCCCCCCACCAGCCCCAGCACTCAGAATCTGTCCAATTTTGGGAGTTTGAGGGGTCGGTCTCTGGTTTTCCGTGAGGGCTCCTTTGTGTCCCTGTTTGTCTTGGGGAAGAGGTTGCTGGAAGATGGGGGGCAGGTGGGGGGAGGCTCTCAGTGACAGGCAGAGGGTCCTGAGACCCCTCAGTGGCCCTTCTCTGGTGCTCTGGTGGGAGTATGAGTTAGTGTGCGTGTGTGTGTGCATGCGTGTGTGTGTGTGTGTGTGTGTGTGTGTTCCGCGTGGATGGGGCCGGGGTACGATCCCCGAGGCTGCGGGAGGTGAACGGGTGTGTGACACTGTGATGGGGAAGAGGCAGCCTTCTCAGCCAGGGCAGTAAATTTCCAGGGACCCCTTGGCTGCCCTGACCCCACCTCCGTGTGTCAGCTTGTCGCTTCCTCCCGTCTTTGTTCAAGCAGGAAGGGAACCGGCTGCCACCTAGCTGGCTGAGAGGTGGGGCTGGGGTTGCTCGGAGGCAGGGGGAGAGGTGGGGGGGGTGTAGGAGGTGCGGGGGGAGGGGCAAGCCCTGGGTGCTCCGTGCCAGGGGCCCCAGCCTGGCTCCTCCTGGCAGAGGCTGGAAGACACTTCTGGAGACTAAGCCCAAGGATCTAAGGGCCCCACTGTCCAAAGACCTACTCACAAAGGAGGAAGCAGAGGCTCAGCCAGCGGACTCCAAGTCCGTGAGCTTCACGCAATGTCCCCACATCCTCCTGGCTCCCACCTCATGCTATGCTATGGGGTGACAGAGCCCTTCAGCTCTGACGGGCTGTGGGACACTGGACAGGTACTGAGCTCTGCTGGGCCTCAGTTTCCTCATTTGTAAGGAGGGTAATTGTCAGTTGAGGGGAACCAGAGGCCACTGTGAAGGTGTCCAGCCTGTAGCTCCCCCAGCCCCAGGACCACTTGAGCCCCCCACAACTGCCTACCTTCATGGGGTCCATATTGAACTTCTTACGCCCGATGCATAGCTCCTTCTCCTTCTGTGCTAATCGGCTGCAGACACAAAGATGTCAGGCTGGACTGCCCCGGGACCCCAGGGCACCCTCTCCAAGCCCCAGGGATGCTTTGCTCAGCTAGAACCAATATTCCCCAAGAGCCTCCAAGTGGGGTCCTCACACCCTGCATCGGAATCACCTGGGAGAGCACGAGAAATGCAGGATCTGGGCCCCTCCCGGAGCTACTAAATCAGACTCTTCTGATGGGCCCAGTGCCAGCATTTTAACCAGCTCTGGGGCCATGGCCTTGGGAACCCAGAGTTGCTCCAGGGAGAGCATTTAGAGGGGCCTGTGCAGGATAACAGGGAGGCTGGGGGCGACGGCAGAGGCTCTGGAGCTGGACTCCTGGTGCAAATCCCACTCCACTGCTTTGTTGGCTGAGCTACATAAGGTGAATCACTTTATCTCTCTGGGACTCAGTTTTCTCCTCTGTAAAATGGGGATGACTCCATCACCTGCCTCACAGCACTGTGGAGAGGTGAAAACGTTCAAAATAGCTCGGTGGTAGGTGCTCTGTAAATGTGTGTTATTGTTGGAGCTGGAACAGGGCATCTGGAGACCCAGGGCAGCCACGTGTGTGCCCATGCTTGCCTGTGTGATTTGTGTGTGGGTCTAGAAAGGTGATCAGAGACCAAGGGGTGGCAGGGGCAGGGTGGTGATTTCCTGAGACACAGTTGTAGGAGTCAGTGTCTGAGGCCTTAGGGGATTATGTAGGGACCAACATTCTCTCTCTCTCTCTCTCTTTTTTTTTTTTTTTGAGAGCGAGAACGAGCGAGAGCATGAGCAGTCGCGGGGGGGGGCAGGCAGAGGGAGAGGGAGAAGGAGACTCCCCACTGAGCTGGGACCCCCAAACTGGGGCTCGATCCCTGGACCCTGGGATCATGACCTGAGCTGAAGGCAGACCTTAACTGACTGAGCCACCCAGGTGCTCCAGAACGAAGATTCTTATTCTCCACAAGTGGGGAAACTGAGGCCCAGGGAGGGGAGGGGACCAGCCCCAGGTCACAGAGCCAGTGGGGGTCTTCCCACAGGAGGGGCAGGTGGATGACACCCTATGGGTGCAGTGAGGTGGGCCAGCCTTGGCCTTGCCACGGCCCGGTTCTGGTCCCTGTGAGGCTCTTGGCTCCTAGTCCTCCTCCTTGGGGCTGAACTCCCCTTCTCCCGGCCCATCCCATGATGCTCGTGGCCATCGACTGACCAGGGGTTGGGTCAGGGTGGGTTGGGAGAGACTTTGGGTGGAGGGGTTGAGGGTGGGGGTGTCTCTTAAAAGAGGGGGCCGTTGGAAGTAAGGACCAGACCAGACCACGCGGTGGAGTCTAGGGTCCTGCCTGTTCCTATCTCACCTCCACTGCCGCCTCCTCCAGGCCGACCCGTGGCTTCACCAGGGCCCCAGGCCCAGGCATGGCCCCTTGCTCCCTCATGCTCATTCCTGGGGTGTGACATCCTTGGGAAGCCACCGTGGCAGCTTCTCAGTGTCCCCTGGCCCGGCCCCTCACCTCTCCTCCGCGGTCTCGAAGCAGTCAATCTGGGCAAACACATCTGCGATCTCATCTTTCAGCTTCTGTGGGGTGGCAGGGGGCACGACAGGGTGGGACAGTCAGGGATGGAGGCTGGGACGGAAAGAGATTCCCGAACACCCTCCCCCACTCCCACTTGCACCCGTGGGCGTGACCTCCGACCCCACGGAGCTGCCACTGAGTGCCCCTACCCCTGACAGATCGCTTTCCCAGATGTTTCTTATTCTCACAATCCAAAGCCAACCTATTGCCTGTTGATACCCAATTCCCCAAGGGCTCCTGTCTTGCGGGAGGCAGTCCCCAAGTCCCCACCCTTCCCCCCATTTTATTTCCAGCCTTCCTTCTCCCCTCTGTAGCTGTGGTGTGTCCTGTCTTTTAGACACTCCTCTCTGGCTTCCATCCCCCATGCAAGGACTCTGCAACTCGTCCTTGACTCCGTGCCGACTATGGGCCAGGAGTTATGGGTACACCAGGGTACCAGAGAGTGCAGGCCCTCTTCTCAGGGACCTTGTAATCCCAACGGAATTTACAGAAGAGGACGCTGAGGTGCAGAGAGGTGACGTGGTACGTCCGAGGTCTGATTCCAAGTCCGTGCTTTCCCCACTCCCCTCCAGCCTTTTCCAACTTGACCCTGCAGGTGGTGCCCAGGGGAAGAGGACCCCCTAATTATGCCAACCACAACCCCTGGGCAGATAGCAGAGTGGCGGCTTGTCCAGCACCCTTCTGCGGAGCAGCAACATGAGTCCCTGGCAAGAGTCCCTAGAGCCCAGCCCAGCCCTCCCTCACCTTTCCCTGCAATCTGTGGCATGAGCGTGGTCCCCAGGCTTGTCCGAGAACCCAGGGGCAGCATGGGGGCCTGGAGACTAGACCTGAGCCCAGTCAGTGTCTGCCCATGTGATGATCTTGGCCAAGTCACTGAGAGACTTCCCCATGATTCACTTGCAAGTATTAACTGAGCACTTACTATGCTTTGACTATTGAGTTGGGGTATGATGGTGGGCGGGAGAAACCCAAACCTTTGTGGAGCTCCCAGTTGGGTGGGGTTGGGATCATGGGGTCATGGGCAAATGAAATGACGGTGCAGAAAATGATCTGAGTAGCTACACTGTGGTGAGCACAGCGTAAGGGATAGGCTTGTCCAATCACCATGTCACACACCCGAAACTAATGGAACAGTGTGTCAACTCTACTCAAATTAAAAAAAAAAAGAAAATGATCTGAATCATGGTACAGGAGGAGCCTGGCACATGGTAGGTCTCGAGAAAATACTTGCTGAGTGAATGATTCTGTATCTTCAACTTTCTTAGGTAGATGTGTGTGGGGTGGGGGTGGGGTCCCAGCAACCCCAGCCGGGCGGTCTGGGTCAGGGCAGTCTCTAGGAGGCAGCATTCGAGCTGACAGTGAAGTCACGAGAATGAGGTGCCATGAGGAGAGCTTGGGAGAGTCCCAGGCTATGGGAACTGTGAGTGCAAAGGCCCGGGGGCAGGACGGAGCCTGGCACATTCCAGGAACAGAAACAGGGCCTGCCTCACAGGTGGCTAAAAATCAGATGAGTGAATGTTTGAGCAACTGGTGCATTGGCGAGTGCCGGGCATATACTGGTGTTATCTTGACGAAATGGTTTAAGTTTTAGAGGGGCTGAAACTGAGGCCCAGCGTGGAGGTGAGGCCTGATGGGGGCCACACGGATGGGAGTAGAGCCTGCCGTGCTGTGAAGTGTAGAGAGCACTGGGTGGGGCTCTATACACAGTAGGTGCTTAGCCGATTGCCCCCCTTCCCTCCCCCAGGCTCCTGGCTCTCTCTGGGTCCTGGCAGCTGGGCCTGGGAGTCCCCCTGGGATTCTGGTCTCCCCACTCCTGGGGGCCGGGGCCAAGGCCACGTGTGGGCTGGAGCCTGGCCCCGCTATCCAACCAGCCTCGGTCAGGAGTGGGGAGGTGTGTGAGCATGTAGGAGTGTTTGCTTCTGGGTGGGTGTGCTTGGAAGGTGTGTCAGCATGAATGTGTGTGTAGACATGCGCACGCACGTTTGTGAGTGTGAGTGTGCACACACCTGGATGTCTTCCAGAAGCTGCTTCCGGTGCCACTTGATCCGCTGCAGCTCCTCTGTCTCCCCACTGCTCAGCTCCACTGGGTCTGGAGAGAGAAGAACCAGTGGTCACTGGCCCATTCACCACCCTACCCTCCATCACTCCCCTCCAGCCACACAGGCTAGCTCTTGCTTCTGTCAGGGCCCTCTTCCTTCCAGAAACCCATGGCTTGCTTGCCCTCATCACTCAGGCTTTGGTCCAGATGTCACCTCCTCCAGGAGGCCTTCCCTGACTACCCTCTCTAAAGCAGGCCCTTCCTCTACCTTCCCTTCCTACCCAGCTTTGTACCCTTTCGGTACAGACTCCTTGAAACCATTTTGTTTATTCGCATATTTTCTGTTCTACTCATTATACTCCTAGCACCATGAGAGCGGACACATCAACAATTTTGCTCACTGCTGCATCCTCAGCCCCTAGAAAGAACCCGACGCATAGCAGGTACTCAGAATACTTGCTGGAGGCATTTGTCCTTCCTTGGAACTTTCATTTACTCTTTCCCTGGATCCCGTGTTTATCATTTATCCACTTATTTATTTGCACAACCAGGAAGTAGTGTATCATTTTGTCTCACATGCCATTGGCCAGAAGTAGTCACATGACCACACCTAGCTGCAAGGGAAGCTGGGAAATGAGCCTTTAGTATGGTGGTCCTGATACCCTTATTATGTAAGATGGGGAGACTGGGTTTTGGGGGACAATTCACAGTCCCTGCTCTAGACATTGAGGCTCAGAGAGATGAGGTGACCTGCTCAGGGTTGCACAGGGACAAGCCGCTGAGCCAGAGTGAGACTTGGATTGGGCTCGCTACAAAGCCTGGGTTCCTTCCTCATCACCTGGAAATGAATGAAGGGAGACATGTGTGTGCTGGTATTCTGTGCAAGGTGCCACACTGGGGTCAGCGACCCACCTCTAATCCATTGTGCATCCTGTTCCATCCACAATGCTCACCTGGTCAAAATCCCCATGGACTCCATATTACTTAAGAGAGAAAAGTTCTCATCCTGGCCCTGGCCTCCCCAGCCAGCCTTATTTCCCACTCTTCTCATTAAGAGCCTGACAGTCCCCTTACCAGCTCCTCACTGTCCCCAAACTGTCTCTGTCTTATTTCCCCACGTTTGCTCATGCAGATCCTCCACCCTGGCATGCTTGTCTGCCTGTCTATACACTCCCTGACTCTTTAAGTCCTAGCTTTAGGGAATACCTGGTCACATTTCTTTAAGGTTTTTTTTTTTTTTAAAGATTTTATTTATTTATTTGAGAGAGCGAGCATGAGAGAGAGCATGAGAGGGAAGAGGGTCAGAGGGAGAAGCAGACTCCCCGCCGAGCAGGGAGCCCGATGTGGGACTCGATCCCGGGACTCCAGGATCATGACCTGAGCTGAAGGCAGTCGCTTAACCAACTGAGCCACCCAGGCGCCCTCTTTAAGGTTTTCTAAGGACAGACATTATCCCTCTCAAATGAAAGCAGAGAGAATATTTTTTTAAGTTTTATTTAAATTCAATTAATTAACATTACTAGTGTATTATTAGTTTCAGAGGTGGAGTTCAGTGATTCATCAGTTGTATATAACACCCAGTGCTTATTACATCACACGCCCTCCTTAATGCCCATCACCCAGTTACCCCAATTCCCAACCCCCTCCCCTTCAGCAGTCCTCAGTTTGTTTCCTATGGTTAAGAGTCTCTTATGGTTTGTCTCCCTCTCTGATTTCGTCTTGTTTTATTTTCCCCTTCCTTCCTCTATGTTCCTCTGTTTTGTTTCTTAAATTCCACATATGAGTGAAATCATATAATTGTCTTTCTCTGATTGAGTTATTTCACTTAGCATAATACCTTCTAGTTCTATCCACATCGTTGCAAATGGCAAGACTTCATTTTTTGAATGGCTGAGTAATATTCCATTGTATATATATCCCACATCTTTATCCATTTATCTGTCAATGGACATCTGGGCTACTTCCATAGTTTGGCCAAAGAGAGAACTTTTTCTTTTAAAAGATTTTATTTATTTACTTGACAGAGAGAAACACAGCGAGAGAGGGAACACAAGCAGGGGGAGTGTAAGGGGGAGAAGCAGGCCTCCCGCAGAGCAGGGAGCCCGATGCGGGGCTCAATCCCAGGACCTTGGGATCATGACCTGAGTCGAAGGCAGACGCTTAACGACTGAGCCACCCAGGCGCCCCAAGCAGAGAGAATATTAAGGGCTCCCTTTCCCTACGTCTCCCTCCCATTGACTGTGCAGCCATCTTGGACTCTGAGATGGAACTGAGTATTGAGATGGGGAGGCACCAAGCAAGTACTCAATAAATGGTAGGTGTCCAACAGATGTATAATAGGTGCTATGTTGTGCCATCAATTCTCCTCTTCAGGACCAAGGCCCCCATTCTCTCGGTGGCTGGGGGTGGGATTGGGGGGTAGCCTGCTGCTGTCACAGCTGAGTTCTTCCCTAGGAACCTAACTCGGCCAAATAGAGCTGCCCCACCCAAGGATATGCTCCTCCCAAAGGACAGCCCCTGCATAAAAAGCCACGACCTTTTGCCTACTTTCTGGACCTGAACCAGTATTGACATAGACTCTGCCAACTGAGAAGAAGCTAGGTCCCCAGAAGGAAGGGTCCTGCAACGCTGGGGCAACTATATATGATAATGATATATTGATAATGACTGCCCTGCCCAAGTGGTCAGGATGGGTCTGTGTGACCCACAGAGTCATAAAGCCATCTGAGCACAAGAGTGATCCTTCATAGTGGCTCACTCAGGAACAGGTGTGAACAAAGGTTCCAGTAAGCTCCATGGACAGGTCACGCAGGCCCCTGTGTCATCCACTGTGGTTGCATCAGGTCCCTTAGCTCACACTATGTCTGCATGGGTAGGTCCCTTGTGATCTCTCTGGCAAAGGAGCAAAACACCTGAACTTGGTTCCAGAACGGGCGGCTTAGTGTTTGGGGACAAGTAAAAACTGGGTAGCTATTGAACTACAGCCCTCCTCAAAGGTGTCCCGGAGAAACAGTGGTGAGAAATCCTCCCAGTGGGGAGAACTGGGCCAGAGCACCTGGCCATCCATTTCATGGGCAAAGAGCAGGGGCACGAAGTGAGAATACACATGCATATAGGGTGTGAAAATTAATAAAAGGAAATCTCTGTTAGAATGGAGTCAGGGGGCCCACAGGGAGAGCTCTCACACCCTCCTCAATTGCAGACCCGAGAGAAGGACACACACCTTGCAAGAGGGAGGCTCTTCTCCTCCCTTAGCAACAGCCCAGCGGATGAGAAAGTCACAACTCAGCCAATGAAAAGCCACTACACATCGAGCTCCCAGTTAACTCCAACTTTCCAACTCCCCTCTGCTCTAGGAAAGAGCCTCCTCTCCTGTGTTCTGTGGACTTGCCAAGGGTTTGACCATAGCTTGCTTGTCCTGGATTGCACTTCTATACTATTCTGCAACAAACCCGTCTTTGCTCATAAAATAACTGGGAGTTTTATTTTTTAAGGTTAACAATGACCAGGACAGCATGGCTTGACGTCTTGGTCCGAGGCTGGAAAGAAGGAAGATTGGAAGATTGGGAACAGAGAGGTCTAAGGAACAGCAAGTGGATGGTCCCCTAGGAGTGGACATGGAGCGTGAAGATTTATTTTTAAGATTTTATTTATTGATTTGAGAGAGAGAGAGAGAGAGAGAGAGAGAAGGAGTGCAAGTGGTGGGGGGAAGGGCAGAGAGAGAGGGAGAGAGAATCTCAAGCAGACTCCCCACTGAGTATGGAGTATGGAACCTAATGCGGGGTTCAATCCCCCAACTCTGAGATCATGACCTGAGCAGAAATCCAGAGTCGGATGCTCACTGGACTGAGCCACCCAGGCACCCCGAGGGTGAAGATTTTTGTGAAGCATACTAATGCGCCCCAGCAACCATCCACCAGAGGAGAGGACCTGCACCACCAAGCAGACAGAATGACTGGCCGGTGACGTCATCCTGTCTCTGACCCGCCAGCCCAGTGCTGGTACAACTCTCTGAGGATGAAGCCGCCATGGGGTCTGGGCGGAGGCTGCGTGTGGAGCCACTCACCTAGGCTTCCCCAGCTCCCGCGACTGCTGAATATCCCAACTGCCACAACAGAGACCCATTGTTTCCCAGGAAGGCCACCAGCAACTTGGTGGCAAGTTGATTACATCAGATCCCTTCTACTCTTAAAGGCCAGTGATTTATCTTGACTGGAAGCCACACATGTTCTGGACACACAGTGGCCCTTCCTTTACATGGAGCCTCGGCCGGGGCCCCTGTCTTGAGGCTTTCAGAGTGCTTGATCGGCCCACTCACTATGAGTACCGCCCAACATCACACTGGACCAAGGGACTCTCTTTCTTCTTTTTGTTTTTTAAGATTTTATTTATTTGACAGAGAGAGAGAGAGAGCACAAGTAGGCAGAGCGGCAGGCAGAGGGAGAGGGAGAAGCAGGCTCTCTGCTGAGCAGGGAGCCCGACGCGGGACTCGATCCCAGGATCCTGGGATCATGATCTGAGCCGAAGGCAGATGCTTAATGACTGAGCCACCCAGGCGGCCCTCAAGGGACCCTATTTACAGTGAAGTTGGTGTGGGAGAATATGGCCCTGGCCCTGCTGGTCCTCTCTGGCACTTCGCCACCAGAGGATGCCAGCCCGACGGAGCAGAGGGGCTTCCTGAAGGTGCAGCAGAGATACCAGCTTGGAGCCGACATCCTGCTTGGACCGGGCACCGTCTACCGGGATGCAGTATACACCCTAAACCAACGACGGTTAGTGGTGCTCTGTCCCCAACAGGTCACCGACACAGATCCAGGCACACGGAGGAGGAGTGACTCCGTGTACCTCCTCCTGGTGACCCCCATTTGGGAGTTTTCCTTTCTGTCCCTGCCACTCTGAGCTCGGCAGGCCTAGAGAGCCTGGCTTCCAGAGAGAAGGGGGAGGTGGTACTTATACCAGGGGACAAAGCAAGAGGCCCGTTAACCTTCAGCTCAAAAACCCCTACTTTATGCCAGTAGCTCTGTATAAATTGTGCCTTTTAATCCTTACAGCTCCTGGAAGTGGCCAGGACCCCAGGAGACATGTCGACGCGCAATGCTCTCTCCCTCTCTCTCTCCCTCAAGTCTCCCCCCCCCCCCGCCCCGTTCACCCCCCTTTTTCCCCCCCCCCCCCCCCCCCCAACGCAGACCACAGGCTCGGCCCTGGATGACTGCAGGGCATCCTTGTGTCTCCCTGCCTCCATGCGGCACCTCCAATCCAGTCTCCCACGGCGTCCCTGTGTCCTGGGGATAAGACCCCGAATCTGCCTGGGCCCACCAGTCCCACAGGCACAGCCCCATCCTCAGCTCACACTGCGCCATCCTTGCGCCGGCCCTCGGCCTCCTGGACGTCCTCCGCTTGCTCCCACGTGGGCCCTCCCCACGTCTGTAATGCCTTTCCTTCTCCCCTTGGCCTGGTAGCTCCCATTCATCTTCTCCCCTCTCAGGTGCCCTCTGGTGCAGTGTCTGGGGACACTCTCCCTCACGTCCCTCCTGTCTCCGCAGCGGTTCCAGGATCTGCTCAAAAGACAAGCTATCTGTTGGGGGCGGGACGCTGCTGGGGCCCCTGCTATGTGCCAGGTCCTGTGGGCTCCAGGCTCTCGCCGTCTTCTATCCCACTGGATCCCGATGACAGCTCCAGAGGAAGGTCTGTCTGATCTCATTCTATACACGAGGCACCCGGGGCTCAGAGAGGTCCAGTGACCTGCCTGAGGTGACACAGCTGGAGAGCGGTGACACCCAGGCCCAGCTAGGACTCCGAGGCCACCGCCCTGATGGGGATCTTCTGATGCCAGATATTTTCATGCACATCATCAAAGCCCCATCAGACACTAGCCCTGGTGGTCCTGACATGGAAATGCTGACCATGACGATGTGTTTGAGAATGAAGGCCAGATGCGGAATGATGCCCACAGTCGGTTCCTCTTTCCCTTTCTGGGGAGTGAGAGAGAAAACCAAGCCAACTTCCTCGAGCTGGGGAGACTGAGGCACAGGTGTGGGTGGAGAGTGTTCTTGGGACAGTGGGATGGTATGGGGGTGGGAAGGGGGGTGTTTTGCCTTCTTTCTTCACAGAGCTTCTTTTGGGGTTTGACAGGCATGCTAATGGATCCCCCCTGTCCCCTTCTGGCAGGATTCTGACCCCAACAGGATTCTGACCCCTGTGCTGTCCCGAAGGTCATGGGAAGCACCCCACCTTCTAACCCTTCACCTCCGTGTTTCAAGAGGGGATTTCTCCCCATTTCAGAGCTGAGGGCACAGATGTTTCGGGGAGGGTGACAAGGACACAGAGTGAGAGCCTGGTGATGCTGGAGTTTCAAACACCAGAGCAGCTCATGGGAGGCACATTTTGATAACAATAGACATAAAACTACAAACAAATAATAAAAGGAGAAGGACCAAAGCCACCACCATGAACTCTGTTGACTCCTCCCTCGGCTCTGAGTTTCCCACCTCACAAGGGCTGCCCGTGGACGCCGGGCCCCACCCACGCTGAAGGCTGAGGCTGCCCAGGCCAGCTGGGGGTGCCCTCATGCCCACCCTGACCTGTTCCGCAGCTCCTCCTGACTTCCCCTTTGTCCTTCCTCTTTCCCATCGTATTTTTAGAAATCGTTCTGCTTGCAGCCCTGCTTCCAGAACAGCTGGCCTTGCTTCCCCTTTCCAGGGCAGGAGGAGGGCGCGATCCTGGGGCCCCGAGGGCAGAGGCATCTGGGAGTCTCAGCACGAGGGGCACTGGGGCAGAGGGGGTGTCTGGCGGAGCTGCTCCCCGGCCCAGCCCCCAGGGCTCTGTGGGTGTTGTGTGGCTTCCTCCCCACCCCCAGAGCCAAGCTGCATCTATTTTTGACTGCGCCCAGCCTCCCTGCACCAGCCCAAAGGTGCTATCTTTGGTCACGTAGGGGATTTGCTGCCTGGACCTCTAGCCTTCCCGGCAGGCCTTGGGGGAGGGGGCCTGATCTGCTTCTGGGCAGAACACACGGCAGGAGGGGAGGCTGTCCTGGGGGACCTTGGCCACCATCCTGTCTATGGTACAGATGGGGAGCCGGAGCCCACAGAAGGAAAAGGCCCATCACAGCCAAGGGTGGGTTGGTGCCGAGCTGGGACCTGAGCCAGGTGGGGCTGACTCCCAGTCCCTACTTACTCTCCCAGCCCGGGCCGGGAGGATGGTGCCCACTGACAGATGATGAATCTGAGCTCAGAGAGGGGAAGTCGCCTGGCTGTGGAGGAGCTTTGATTAAGACCCACTCTGGGTAATGGAGGATGACCTTCCTTCCTTCCCTCTGACTCCTCCAGGAAGTCTTCCCGGCTCTCCCCCTCCCAGGTAGAAGGAGTCGCTTCCTCATCAGCCCTGGGTCATTGTGCTGCAGGATCTGTCTCTCCCTCCCCCACATCCTGGACCAGCAGCTCCCCCACGGCGGGGCCCACAGCCAGGTCACTGCTGTCCCCAACACGGCCCAGCACAGGACCTGCACACAGGAGGACTGTTGATAGCATGAATGAATGAATGAATGAATGGACCAATCCATGGAGATCTCAGACCTCCCAACACACCACCTGCATTGACTTTACTCAGGCCACTTTTCCCCAGGGCCAGCCTAAACAGAGCAGCACCCCAGCTTCTGGCCTCCCGTCTCCCACAGCCCAGGCTAACCCGTGGCTCTCCTTGCAGGCTCTTGTCCCTGCTCGGGCCCCCTGACATCAAGCAAGTCAGCCCTCTCCTCTAGTTCACCTCTGGGAGCCTCCGTTTCCTCATTGTGGAGACAACCATCCTGTTCTGAAGGACTCAGTCTGTGAAGCCCCAAAAGAACAAAGCAAGAAGGGTGGGAAGCCAGGCAGTGTGTGCGGACATGGCCCCCCTCCCTCCTGTCGCCTCATATCTGCTGAGTGACCTTGAGCCTGGCGCTGCTCCTCGCTGGGTCCCCTCTTGTCTTCTAGGCACCACCTAAGACATACTCCTGGAGCCCGCCCAGTTTGTGAGCCACCTGCCACCAAAAGCCCAAAGGCCGCTGAAAGGGATGGGTGGTTCTCTAACTGGGTTCCCCAGAGCCTGCCGGGCCCAGGAGGCCTGGGGGGCGGGGTCAGACCGCTCCGTGTTAGGTTTTGTTTGAAGAAAGGGTTCTATTGCTCACAGGGTGGATGTCATCGGAACCTGGGGACCTGGACAGCTCCTGGTCGCGCTCGGCTTCTGGACTTCCAGGCCATGCTGGGATGGTCTGAGCACAGGGCACAGAGGCTTCGTCCCACTTCTCCGTGCCTTGCAGCAACGCAGCACCATCCTGTTCCTTCCCCTCCCAACTGTGCAGACTGTGCCTCTCCTCTTTCCCCTCCGGACATATGGTCCCGCTCACTGGGGAGGGTCTCGGCCCTGGTTCTCTGCTGCTCCTCCCTGGCCCCCCTCCACCGGCACTCGAGGCGGTGGCCTCAGCCTCCCCAAAGGCAGTCCTCACAGCCCATCCCCAAAGGCCAAACGGGAGCTGCAGGGCCCTTGTGCCGCCCAGACAGCCATTGTCACCAACATCATCATCTTCAACTCGAGCAACCTTTCTTGCACTGACGGTTCCTTGTCCCGGGAATATTCCTTCCCCAGAAACCCATACAGATCACTCCCTCCCTCCTCCAGGCCTCTGCCCAAATGGTGTCTCCTCCTGAGGCCTTCTCGACCACCTTCTCCCATCATCCTTACCTACTTGGCTATTCTTCCTCCTGCTTGTCACCTCCTGACATATTACATTAATACCTTTACTGTCTGTCTCCCCCTCTAGAGCGTGAGCTCAGGCGGGCAGGAACAGGGCCTGCTTTGTTCACTGGACTGCCAGCTCCTGGAGCACAGCTTGGCACCCAGCCTGAGCTCATAAACATTTGTTGCTTCCTTCTGCATGTCCTACCTGTCTTAGATCTATTTTTGTATCGATTCCTTCCAGGATGCTGCGAAAGCAGGCACTATTATTGTCCCCATCTTACAGAAAGGAAACTGAGGCCCAGAGAGCTTGGCCCCAGGTGCTTACCTGGGTGGCACAGGTCCATTCTGAGGCCCTGGGGAAGGGTGGCCTGTACCGCCTTTGCCTGCTGACCCAGCTGCTGCTGGAGCTGGCGGGGCAGAGATGTGTCACCTCGGCTACAGCAGGCCGCTTCCGGGTGGCCCCGCCCAGCCCCGTGTGGGGAGGAAGTCAGTCAGTCTGCTGGGATCTGGTGTGGAGGCTCTTGACACAGCAGCACTTCCTAAAACCAGCAGTTTCGTGTCGCAGGGACTCTTTGCATTTTTGGGTGCGGGCATGGGAGATTTAGAGACAACAGAGACAAAGGGAGGGGTTGGGAGATAAAAAGGGAAAGTGAGACGCACCGACGTGCGCGCGCGCATGTGCGCATGCGCACACAGCGAATGGTGGTCGCTGGGGGCCACAGTTTTCTCCAGGGGACAGTGGGCCATTTACTTAGCAATCTCCTCAGATATAAGCTGAAGTGTCACCTTTGGACAGCTGGGCCCCAGAGATTCTACCCTACAAGCTCTCTTTTGCCTACTCTCCCTTGGGAAAAGGAAAAGGGATTCAGTGCTATAAGAAAGGCTTTGCTTTTCCTCCATGACATATCTGGGTTTTTTCCTATCTAGTGACCAATTGGCAATCATATGTTTAGTTTCTCTTTTCCCTCAGGCTGCTAGGAAACTCAGAGTCAAATCTGAGGCTCCTTTACAGCTGCCCTACTGTAGCATATGGACTTTGGGACCAGGCTCAGCTGTGTGACTCTCAGCTCTGCCACTTGGGACTGGTGAGAACTCAGGCAAGGCCACTTATCTGCAATGAGCCTCAGTTTACTTACCTATAAAAGGGGAATGATAATCCTTACCTCAGGGTTACAGAGAAGATGGTGGGAGAGAATGTGCATAAGATGCTTGCGATAGCGGGTCCTCAATGAGCACTATCTCCTTTCCCTCTTGGTTTCGATTTTCTTTCTGGTTAAAATTCCCAATTTTATTGCTTGTGACTTTTCTGCAGGCTGATCCAATTTCTTTGTGGAAAAAAGTGTTGTGTAAAGAAATTATCTATAAAATAAATGCTCACGTGGTGTAAATTTTTGTGGCACCCATCGATTTCTTCATCTGTTTCCCTACCAGGCTAGAGGCCCCATGAGGACAAGGTCACCTCCGTGTCTCCATGTCTGGTAAGAGCAATGAAGGAAGGAAGGAAGGAAGGAAGGAAGGAAGGAAGGAAGGAAGGAAGGAAGGAAAGGAACATAGGGGAGATAGTGTGGTTGATGCCAAAGTTGGCTACATTTTCCACCCTTCCCTGTGTGCACCCCCCTTTGCAAGGCTACCCTGCTACTCCTCCCATCAAGAGGTGGAGTCTATTTCTCTGCCCCTTGAATCTGGGCTGGGCTGTGTCTTTCTCTGGCCACCTGCCTGCCCAGCTTCCATGGGAACTAGCCTGGGCTAGCCTGCTGGGGAATGGGAGGCCATGTGGAGAAAGGCTCAGCCATCCTGACTGCCACCTGGTTGCAGCCTCATGAGTGAAACTGGGCAACAATGGGAGAAGGACCATTAAGTGGAGTCCCACCCTCATGGCTGTCCCATAGCACTGTGAGAAATAACAAATGTTTGCTGTTTTGAGCTACCAAATTTTGGGGTAGTTTGTTACGCAGCGAAAGCTCATTGATACAGGTGAAATCCAACACCTTCATTTCATTGAGGTGGAAACCGAGGCTCATTTCCGGGACATGCTTTGACCAAGTTGGAACTTGAGTTAGTGGCCAGCTCAGGGCCAGACCTGCCAGTCTTGTGCTCTCAGCACTCTTGGAACCAGCCCCCCTGTTGCCCGCGGGCCCGTGCCTAACTCAAGGTCACTCTCTAGGAAACTTGTTGAAACGGTCTCCATAGTAAACTAGATGTTTCTCTACACATTGGGGTCTGAGGCATGAAAACCCATTTCCTGGGTCACTTCAAAAACAGAAATGGGGAGGAAGGTGTCATTCCCCATGCAGAAAAGTTAACACATCAGGATTGGGACTGTGATCCTTTACAAGGCCTGCTTGCAGGTTTGGCTTTTGGCTGGTGTCTGGGAACTTGGGTTTCTACTGTTCTCTGATGAGAGTGGCTCACTGAGCCTAAACTGTACAAATACCATGGGTTATGCTGAACACCTACTTTTGTTTTGGGTGTCTGCAAGTTTGGTATATGCTGGGCAGAGGGTGCCTACATGCCTGGCCCCCAGTAAAAACTCTGGGTGCCGAGTCTCTATTGAGCTTCCTGGGTTGACAGCACCTCACATGCGTTTGCACACTTTGCTACTGGAGGATTTAGTGCCTCCTGGCTGGCCCCACTGGGAGAGGACTCTTGGGTACTCACACCTGGTTTCCTGTGGACCTCACCCCAGGCACTTTCTCTGGGTTTGCTTTGTACCCCTTTGCTGTCATAGATCAGAGCTGTAGGTAAGACTATGTGCTAAGTTCTGTGAGTCCTCCAGGTGAATCACCGAACCTGAGGATGGTCTTGGGGACCCCTGAAACATGCCCTAATGCTGCAGCCAGGCCCAATGGATGGACCTTGCCTGGGGCTACAAGCTGGCATCTGGGGCTTCCCGTTCTGTCTGAAGGGCTGGTTAAATGGTTCAGTTATTATGACTAACTTGTTCTTTAAGACTCAACTCAAATGCCACTTTCTCTGTGAAGCCTTCTGTGATTGCACCTCCTTTCCCTCTGCTCCTCCAGCCTTGAAGGGACCCTCTCATTATGGGTGGCAATGGGTTTGGTAGATTTAATTAGAGGGGAACCGTGGAGACCTGGAATCAAATCCCAAATCAGCACTGGCTAGTTGTGTAAATTTCTCTCATCTGAGCCTTTTTTTTTTTTTTTGTCATCTGCAAAATGGGGACAGATAAAATTAGGTTTCTTTATATGACACAGAAAACCCAAATAACAGTGGTTTAAAGAAATTAGAGGTATATTTATCTCTTATGAGAAAGAAGCCTGAGGTAGGTAATATAGGACTGTTCTCATAGAAGCCTGGGAATCAGGGATCCAGGCTCCCTCTAACTTTTTGCTTCTATCCTCAAGATCTCCTCATGGCCCAAAGTGGTTGCCTGATGGTACCTGAATTTTGGGTAGGAAGAAAGATGAAGATGGGAAGGGCTTCCTTTAAAGGCCTCTTCCTGAGGCTCTTTCTGGCCTGAGGTCAGCCCTTTTCCCTGAAATGGGTGTCTGCTTCCTCCATATGAACTGCATGGAGGTCCATGGTTGGCTGTGGAACAACACACAGCAGTCTGCAGACATGGGGTCTGGGAGGTCTTTAGACAGCCTCCACCACCACCACTTATGGAGTGCTCACTACATGCCAGGCACTATGCTAAGTGCTTACACATCCTTTCGTTTAATCTTTTCCACAACCCAACAAAGTGTATTACTATCCCTGCTTTATAGATGTGGAAACTGAGTTCAGAGAGGTTAAGTTACTTGCTCAAGGTCACACAGCCAGGAAGAGGCAAGCTCAGATTCAAGCTCTG